ACTCAGTGGTTATGTGTCCCATACAGAGACCTTTGCTCCCCACCAACGCAATCACTGTCCAGCTTTGGTCTTGCATACGCAGTTCTCCGTGGCCATTCCGTAGATGCCGCATGTTCAGGTTGTCCAAACCTAAGCAAATCTTTTCCCCACCTTTCCATTCCAGTTTGTGTCATGCCATCCGCCCAGTCACCCAATTGGAACCCCAGCCACCATCCCATACTCCTCCCTCATCCTGTTCCCAGTCAATTACCAGGACCTGCTTATCTTCTAAATATTCTCCATTCAATCTCTGATACCACTGCTCTAGTTGTCACCCTGACATCTCTAACCTTCTAACTAGCATTTTAGCTGGTGATAAACCGAGCCCGATAATATCACGTTTCCATTGAAGTTCTGAGATAGCCCTTGATGGCCCTAAACCTAGCCGTAACCCTTACCCTAACTCTAGCCCTAACCCAAACCCTAACCATAACTCTAGTCCTAGCCCTAATCCAAACCCTAACCCTAACTCTAGTCCTAGCCCTAACCCTAACCCTAACTCTAGCCCTAACCCAAACCCTAACCATAACTCTAGTCCTAGCCCTAATCCAAACCCTAACCCTAACTCTAGTCCTAGCCCTAACCCTAACCCTAACTCTAGCCCTAACCCAAACCCTAACCATAACTCTAGTCCTAGCCCTAATCCAAACCCTAACCCTAACTCTAGTCCTAGCCCTAACCCTAACCCTAACTCTAGCCCTAACCCAAACCCTAACCATAACTCTAGTCCTAGCCCTAATCCAAACCCTAACCCTAACTCTAGTCCTAGCCCTAACCCTAACCCTAACTCTAGCCCTAACCCAAACCCTAACCATAACTCTAGTCCTAGCCCTAATCCAAACCCTAACCCTAACTCTAGTCCTAGCCCTAACCCTAACCCTAACTCTAGCCCTAACCCAAACCCTAACCATAACTCTAGTCCTAGCCCTAATCCAAACCCTAACCCTAACTCTAGTCCTAGCCCTAACCCTAACCCTAACTCTAGCCCTAACCCTAACCTTAACCCTAACTCTAGTCCTAGCCCTAACCCTAACCCTAACTCTAGCCCTAACCCTAACCTTAACCCTAACTCTAGTCCTAGCCCTAACCCTAACCCTAACTCTAGCCCTAACCCTAACCTTAACCCTAACTCTAGTCCTAGCCCTAACCCTAACCCTAACTCTAGCCCTAACCCTAACCTTAACCCTAACTCTAGTCCTAGCCCTAACCCTAACCCTAACTCTAGCCCTAACCCTAACCTTAACCCTAACTCTAGTCCTAGCCCTAACCCTAACCCTAACTCTAGCCCCTAGCCCTAGCCCTAGCCCTAACCCTAACCCTAACCCTAACCCTAACCCTAGCCCTAGCCCTGCTTCAACATTGATAATAAAGCATACCAGGTGGAGGAGTCCTGTTGGTCTGAATTGTCACAGCACTCTTGTTAATTCTGGTTTTAGAAAATATTCCCAACTTGAGACTCAAGGAATTAATCACTAATCGTCACTGAGTTGAAACAAACTCATGAAAAGACTAAGGGGTGACAAAGGACAACACTGCACCATTCAGAGCTGACTCTGGAGCAATGTTCTGAGCCTCTGAGAAGACTTGTAAAGGACAGCCAGAGAGAAAACACAACAAATGTAGAAAACATTCCCAGAGCTGAAAATGCCAAATGCCTGTGGATGGTATAGAGCATGGAAAGTCTATCAAATACCTTGACTATCAGCCCCTGGTTGAGTGGCTTCTGCAATAAAAGGTATAATAGACTAAATCTAACCCTAACCCTACTACTAGACCTAGCCCTAGCCCTAAGCCTGAGCCTAGCCCTAACCTAGCCCTAGCCCTAACTCTAGCCCTAGCCCTAACTCTAACCCTAAACCTAAACCTAGCCCTGGCCCTAGCCCTAACCCTAACCTTGAACCCTAACCCAAGCCCTAACCCTAACCCTAGCCCTAATCCTACCCTAACCCTACCCCTAGCCCTAACCCTAAACCTCCTCTCCCCAGACTGCCCAGCCCTCAGGGCTCTAAAGAGGACAGAAAGGATTCCCTGGGCTCTAAGAAGGACAGTCTGCCTCACCTCTCAGGTCCCAGCTTCCCTGTGACCTGCTCCTCATCTACCTCAAAACTACCTGGGTAGGTGTTTAAAACACACTTTCTAGGGCACCACAACTGATCTTTCGGACGTGAGCATGGAGCCAACCCACCAGGTGGGGACCAGATCCCACAGGCCAGGCTCAGCTAGGATTAGGGTTAGGGCTAGTGCTAGGGCTAGGGTTAGGGTTAAGGTTAGGATTGGGGTTAGGGCTAGGCTTAGGGCACAAGGTTAGGGTTAGGGCTAGGGGTAGGGTACGGTTATGATTAGGGATAGGTCTAGAGTTAGGTTTAGGGTTAGTGTTATAGTTAGGGCTAGGGTTAAGTTTAGGGCTATGTTTAGGGTTAGGGTTAGTGTTATAGTTAGGGTTAAGGTTAAGATTAGGGCTAGGGCTAGGGCTAGAGTTATGGTTAGGGTTAGCCTCTGGGTCCTTGGACGCATATTGAAATCACTTGGAGATTTAAGGTAAGGTTTAGAGTTAGGGCTAGGTTTAGGGTTAGAGTTTGTATCCATGGCTGCATATTAAAATCACCTGGAGAGTTAAGGTTAGTGTTAGGGTTAGGGCTAGGGCTAAGGTTAGTGTTAGGATTCGGGTTAGGGCTAGGGTTTGGGTTAAGATTTGGGTAGGGGTAGGGCTAGGGTTAGGGTGATGGTTAGGGTTAGGGTTAGAACTAAGGTTAGGGTTAGGATTAGGTTTAGGGCTAGAGCTAGTTTTAGGGTTAGGGTTAGGGTTAGGGTAAGAGCTGCGGTTAGGGTTAGTGTTAGGGTTAGAGCTAGGGATAAGGTTAGGGTTAGTGTTAGGGTTAGGGTTATGTTTAGTGCTAGGGCAAGAGTGAGGGTTAGGGTTAGGGTAAGCGTCTGGGTCCTTAGATGCACATTGGAATCGCCTGGAGATTTAAGGTAAGGGTTAGAGTTAGGGCTAAGTTTGGGGTTAGAGTTTGTGTCCATAGCTGCATATTAGAATCACCTAAAGAGTTAAGGTTAGTGTCAGGGTTATGGTTAGGGCTAGGGCTAAGGTTAGTGTTAGGATTTGGGTTAGGGCTAGGGTTAGTGTTAGGATTAGGGTTAGGGTGGTTAAGGTTAGAACTAGGGTTAGGATTAGGTTTAGGGCTAGAGCTAGTCTTAGAGTTAGGGCTATGTTTAGGGCTAGGGGTAGGGTTAGGTTACAGTTAAGATTTGGACTAGGGTTAGGGTTATATTTAGGGTTAGGGGTAGGGTTAGTGTTAAGGCTAGGGTTAGGATTAGGGTTAGGGTTAGGGCTGGGTTAGGATTAGGATTAGTGTTATTTTTAGGTCTAGGGATAGGGTTAGGGTTAGATTTAGGGTTAGTGTTAGTGTTATGTTCTAGGGCTGGGTTAGGATTAGGATTAGTGTTATTTTTAGATCTAGGGATAGGGTTAGGGTTAGTGTTATGTTTAGGGCTAGGGTAAGGATTAGGGTTAAGGTTAGGTTTAGGGTTAGGGCTCTGGTTAGGTTTAGGATTAGCATCTGGGTTCTTGGATGCACATTGGAATCACCTGGAGAGTTTGGTATAGGTTTGGAGTTATGGTTATGGTTAGGTTTAGGGCTAGTGTGAGGGTTAGGGTTAGGGTTAGGACTGGGGCTAGGGTTAAGGTCAAGATTTGGACTAGGGCTAAGGCTAGTGTTAGGGTTAGGTTTAGGGCTAGGGCCAGGGTTAGGATTAGGGTAAGGGCTAGAGGTAGTCTTAGGTTTAGTGTTAGGGCTAGGGTTAAGGTTAGGGTTAGGACTAAGGTTAGGGTTAGGGTTTGGGATATGGCTGTTTAGGGCTAGGGCTAGGGTTAGGGTTAGAACTAGAGCTATGGTTAGGGTTAAGATTTAGGCTAAGACTAGGGTTAGGGTTACAGTTAGGTTTAGGGCTAGTGCTTGAGTTAGGGTTAAGATTAGGTTAAGGCAGGGGTCCTCAAACTACGGCCCGCGGGCCACATGCAAATACAAATATTGTATTTGTTCCCGTTTTGTTTTTTTATTTCAAAATAAGATATGTGCAGTGTGCATAGGAATTTGTTCATAGTTTTTTTTTAAACTATAGTCCGGCCCTCCAACGGTCTGAGGGACAGTGAACTGGCCCCCTGTTTAAAAAGTTTGAGGACCCCTGGGTTAAGGGCTAGAGCCAGTCTTAAGTTTAGGGCTAGGGCTAGGGTTAGGGTTAGGTTTAGTGTCTGGGTCCTTGGATGCACATTGGAATCACCCGGAGATTTAGGGTAAGGGTTTGAATTAGGTTTAGGGTTAGTGTTGTGTCCTTGGCTGCATATTGGAATCACTTGGAGTGTTAAGGTTAGTGTTAGGGTTATGGTTAGTGCTAGGGATAGTGTTATGGTTACGTTTAGGGCTCTGGCTAGGGTAAGGGTTAAAATTATGTTTAGGGCTAGAGCTAGTGTTAGGTTTAGGGTTCGGGTTTGGGCTGGAATTAGGGTTAGGGCTAGTACTAGGGCTAGGGTTAGGGTTGGCATTAAGATTTGGGCTAGGACTAGAGTAGGGTTAAGGTTAGGTTTAGGGCTAGGGTTAGGATTAGGTTTAGGGCTAGAGCTAGTCTTCCGGTTAGGGCTAAGGCTGGGGCTAGCCCTAGCCCTAACCTTAACCCTTACCTTGTGTCCTAACCATAACCCTAACCTAGCTTTAGCCATAATCCTAACCTTGTGCCCTAACCCTAACCCTAAGTCAAGGTTTAGGACTGCAGGAGCAAATCCAAGGTACAGAGGAGCTTCAGATGTGGACAGGCCTCAAGGAGTTTGTAAGCTTTTTAGGTTGTCAGGTCCTAGCCTTTCTCATCATCACTACAATCACTGTTATGACCTACTTGTCTGGCATTGATAAAAAAAATTCATTTCCTTCATCGTTTTCCCCCTTAAAAGCACTGAATACTACAACTTTAGAAATCCTCAATTAGGTTTATTAGTGGCGATGTAAATCAATTACAATAAAAGAAAACAATTAACTCTAATGAATACACTCTCAACCACTATTAACTGCCTATAATATAGTCTGAAGATAACTGTTTAAAAAGTCAACAATAGTAGTTCCCGTTGTAAATTAATTACCAAAAATATAACTGTTTTTAATTTCCATAATACTTGAAAGTACAAATATAAATTAAATAAAGTTCAAAAGACCACATACAACAAAATAGTTCATAAAACAAGGCTAATTTTAAAAGAATTGTTCAATTTACTTTGTAGCATTTTTTTGGTTATATAAAATTATTTAAAGCAGTGCATGTTTTCTGTATCACACATGAAAGTTCACATCCAGATGTCCTTTTATGAAATCCTTATTCTTTCTTCATTGTCAAAATGTTCACTCCTGGCTAGATTTTTCTTCCTTGGCAATTCTTTTTGTTATCCCACTGAAATATTTCTCACGGAAGGAATTATGACCTTGGTATGGCAGAAACTGATCACTTAGCAGATGTGAATACTGGTCCTGGTTCTGGTTGGTTGGTAAATACAGAAAATAAAAAGAGTTTGAGTTAATTTCTTTAGTTACCTTGTAACCAAAGCAGTCATTTACTGTAAGCAAAATCTCCCTCTGTGGTGCAGATTGGTTTTCCTATTGTTGTTTTATTACCTGAATGAAAAACATATCACCCACTTTATACTTGCTTGGGTATCCAGTGTTTTCACCTACTTTTCCTCATTTGATCCACTGTCTTCAGTGCTCCTGCTCCAGTCTATTCCTCATATTGAGACCAAACTCAACTTACTAAAGGCAAATCTAATATGCCAGCATTTCTGGCTAATATCCAAATGGGTTTAAACTTTCCCCAATTCTGAGGCTTTCCCTTAAGGTTTGGGAGGTAGATTCAATTGAAAATCAGGTGGCTGAATGTCCTCTCACTTTTCTTTCCTGTACAAGAAGGTTCAGCACACTGTCGAGCAATGAGGTCGCCCCACTCTGCCATTCTGTACTCTTCTCCCTGGGACTCCTCCAGGCTATGCAAAATCACCTCAACGGGAAATGCCTGTGGACTGTCCTGGAGCTCAGTGGTGAGGAGGGTAAGACAGGACAGAAATGTGTGACTCCAGCAGCCGCAAGCTCAGAAGGCAGAGGCATGGAGGACAGGCTGGGAACTGACCCGGGCTCAGGTGCTTGAATGCCTAGCTGGCCAAAGCTGCCAATTGTGCAGCTCACCTGAGGAAGCAAGAGGCAAAAGTTGAAGCACAATGGAAGATAGGCTTCCTCTTAGACCAAAGAGAAAGCGTAACAAAACAGCTTGCCTTTGACCAGGAGGATATAAATGGGGCAAACTGATAATAAAGAACAGAGAATTATGAAGATTAGAGTCAGAGACGGGGAATAAACAGAAGAAGCGTGGAAAACCCAAAAGTAATGATTAAAACGTGTGCTAATTAATGGCTATCTAGACAATATGTGGGGACTACCTATGACATTCTTTGTCTGAACAGTTTAGATTCAAGAATCCCTCAGAATAAAATAAAAGCAAAAAAAAAGCCCCTGAGACTCTAACAGACCATGGGTTGAGTTCTACAGGGATCCAGTGGCAGAGAAACACACACTACTGGGAAAGTTGGAAAGACTAGCAACCTTAGAAATGCAACCTCGGGTGGGATGGAGGGGAGGAGGGGGAGACCTCTTTTCTGTCTTTACCAGGAAGTAGAGAAAAATCCCATGAGATATATGCTGGAAAGATTCTTTCTGCAAGATTGGCTGCCCCTGAATGTAAAAAAAGTCATTATAACAAAAACTACTGGATAACCCAGTATCTCCAAATCCCTTATATATGTAGCCAGGGATCCAGCAAGAGCCATTCTATTATTACTTAGCAGCATAAGTCCTGCTTCCGGATAAGCCAGACACTCCAGGGACTTTGGCTACCATTTTCATCTAATGGAAAGTCCTGGTTCCTAAAATGTTCTACATGGAACATTCAGTATATTTATGGGCTAATAATACTATTACATATATTCATGTCAATATCCTATACCTATGAACAATAAACATTTCAAATATAACCTGGTCTATATGAAATACACTACTAGTATTTGCAACACTCAGAATTTATGTTACCTCAATGCCGAAGAAGATGGCACACTTTTCTCTCTCATCCTATCTTTAGTTCAGGTTACCAGGGCTCACACTTGAGATGACGATAGTCAACTGCACATATTTTTCACCACCTGTTCATGCCTCTTCTCTATTTGAATTCCCTGCCCATCTCAAACAAGAATATCTGCAGGGGTTTTTTTCAGCTCACTATCTCAAAGGCCAAAGTGTTTACTTAAAGGACAAGAGTATCCTCAGGCAACACAACCCTTGATGTCTCCATTAACTAGAGCTCGTCCCAGTCCCAGTGTTTAACTTCTGGTTTCCCTAACACTTCCAAATCGGTCTTCCAGTATACCTAGGTGTCACAATCCTTGAGTTGTACCAATTTTTAGTAAACAAGAAATACTTCATGAAAAATAAAAACACAGAGAGAATTGGGAAATGCCAAAAAAGAAAACTCTGGCACTGAAAAATTACAGACCACCTTTCTCAAATTTCATTAACTACTGGTTAAATTGTGGAGCATGGTAGGAGTTAAAGAGATATGAATAAAATATGAAGATTGTTGATTACACTGTCTATTGTTTATCATCTTTTTATAACCAGAAATTCAGAGTTTCTGTAGGAAAGTCTGTGCTAGCTACAGATGGCTTCCTAATGGAAATACACAGCTTTCAGACCTATCACTTAACCTTGTAAGACAAACAGCAATTGTAAATATGACAGGAAATATACCAGTTCCGAGTCAAGAAAGCAACAAGTATATATTTACAACTATGTGTTTTATATAAATCCACTATTAAATTGTCTGCATCTTTTCACAGCAGGTTATCATCTAAATTTTTCAGCTAAGGAAAGGGAGACTGAAGGAGTTTGAGTAATCTGCCACTGGTCACACAGCTAGTTAAGTAGCATTGGTAGAACTGTAGCCTAGATGAGACTTCAAAGCTTATACTTCTTCCAACACTTCTATTTTTCTCTTTTTAGTAGAAATTACATCAAAACAATGGTTGAAAAGTTAACTTCCCACATGGTAGACTAGTAAGTAGTTCAAAATGGAGTTTGACATTTAGAGGACATTCCTCACTGAACAGCAACATTATGGTAGCACATATTTCAGATCTAAACTTTTAGACAGAACCCTTTAACCACTGTCCCACCCAGCCAACTTCCTGTCCTATCAGTACTAATTCTAAACATAAACCACTCGAGGAATTTTAACACACTTGCCAAAGAAACCAAAACCTTACAAATTGTAGTATACTTATATGTGTACACTGCCCTCTGCTGGCAAAAGCAGGTAGGATTTCCTGCTGTGGATAAAGATAGCTTGGAACAGAGCTGACCATACGTGCACGAGCACTCTTTCCCTCTCTGTTTGAGTCCTGACTACTGTAAACATCTAGTCACTAGTTACAGAGAACCAACATGACCAGGGTGGCTATTTTTCTCCAGGGAGCATCAGCATTTCATTTTTTAAAGAATGATGTGGAAATACACATTACATATTCACCTTGGTGACTCTAAAGTATAAAATTGTCATCTGTGTCCAACCTAAAATTACAAAGTATTCTCTAAAATAAGAAAGAGTACATAAACTAGACCTTATTCAAACTATTCCTTAATTATTTTTAAAACGAACCCTACATCAAGATAGAGCATCACAAAAAAAAAAACAAAAAAAGACATTAAAAGGAAAGCACTTCAGCTACTTATAACATAATAATCTAAAGGGAAACAAATTCTCAAGAAAGAAACTATATGTTCTGTAGTAACATTTGAAACTGACACTGTAAATGGAACTAATGACACTGGATTATACTACGAGGTAAGTGTGTAAGAGTGTTTCCCAAATGGAGTGTCACAGATGACTCAAGACGACTATACTGAGAACTCCACTTCAGTAAAGCAATCCTTCCAACTACTGCTTCTACCAGAAACCTGCCATTCTTTGTTATCATCATCTCCTGAGTAGAGGAAAGGTGTTGGGATTTTCCACAGTATGGTGATTCGGCTGCTTTCTGGTTTGCTTCTCATGAGATATGAAGTTCAGGTACCACACAATTAGAATGTTTTGTAATGCTGATTTTTAAAAAATATATATTTTTATTGATTTCAGAGAGGAAGGGAGAGGGAGAGAGAGATAGAAACATCAATGATGAGAGAGAATCACTGATTGGCTGCCTCCTGCATGCCCCGACTGGGGATTGGGCCCGCAACCCGGGCATGTGCCCTTGACTAGAATTGAACCTGGGACCTTTCAGTCCACAGGTTGATGCTCTATCCACTGAGCCAAACCAGCTAAGGCTGTAACGGTGATTTCTGAAGAGTGCTGTTAAGATAATAAAATTGAGTACATTTTCAAACAGAAAATTTTAGCTAGCTATAACTATCTGTTCCCACACTTCCTTCAAATAGGTAGTTTAAATACTGTTAAATTTGATTGTCTTTTTATTCAGGAAAGGCCCAAAATAATCAGTGAACAGTTACTATTCATTTCCTAAACATTTACTGAGTGGTGGGCAAAACAGTCAAGGTCTGTGAGTTGAGAGCTTATATACTAGTAGGAGACAAACGTTAAACAATATATCCCCAAACATATACTTGCAAACTGTGATTAAACAGTGAGAAGGGCACTATTCCTATACAATAAAAGGGTAATACGCAAATAGACCGAGCGGCAGAACAACCAATCAAAGCATAATATGCTAATCATATGCTAAGACTGCTCAACCGCTCGCTATGACGTGCACTGACCACTGGGGGACAGACAACCGGTCGACAGGTCACTATGATGTGCACTGACCACCAGGGGACAGATGCTCTGACTGGTAGGTTAGCTTGCTGTTGGGGTCCAGCCAATCGAGACTGAGCAAGATGGGCCGGACATGCCCTGGAGCCCTCCCGCGGCCTCTCCCCAGCCTGATCGTGCACCAGTGGGGTCCCTCAGCCTGGCCTGCGCCCTCTTGCAATCCGGGACCCCTCGGGGGATGTAGGAGAGCCAGTTTCAGCCCAATCCCACAGGCCACTCCCCTTGGGAGGGCACCAGTCGCAGGGCTCACGACTGGCGAGTGCTGCTGTAGCAGTGCGAGTCTCTCCCGATCGGGACTGATTGGGCACGAGCCTGCGGCAGATACAGTGGGGCCAGGATGAGCGGGAGCGGCAGGTAGGAGCTGCAGGCAGTGCTGGACTGTGGGTTTCGGCCCGATCCCTGCAAGCCACCCACAGGGACCCCACCCAGGCACAAATTCGTGCACTGGGCCCCTAGTCTACATATATAAAAGCCTAAGTGACTGTTACGACCAAACAACTGGTCGACCAGTCGCTATGATGCACACTGACCACCAGGGGGCAGACGCTCAACACTGGAGCTGCCCCCTAGTGGTCAGTGCGCTCCCAGAGGGGGAGCGCTGCTCAACCAG